GGAGTCAAAAGTTATGCCTTGTCGAACTTTTGACACTTTACAACTTAAAAAATAAAAATTAAAAATTAAAGGCTGGTTCAGCCGGCGAGGCGGCCGCTAAGGAGGCCGATTCCGGCCTTCCTCGCCGCGGCCAGCGATACGATTTTTGCAACACTGATATATAAAATAGATATAGATTAGAATAGGAATAGTATTATACAATTTTATAATATTACAATAAAATTTTAACCCAGAATTATTGTAAAAATTAATATATTTTATTAGGAAGAGAGATTTTTTAGGAATTGGGCGGGAAGTTAAAATTCCAGGATTTTGTTTTTATATATAGTATAGATAGATTGTATTACACTATTTTATAATATTAGAATAGAATTTTAACGCAGAATTATTGTACGAATGAGAAAGTAGAAATCAATATATTTTATTAGGAAGGGAGATTTTTTTGGAATTGGGCGGGAAGTTAACATTCCAGGATTTTGTTTTTATATATAGTATAGATTGTATTACACTATTTTATAATATTAGAATAGAATTTTAACGGAGAATTATTGTACGAATGGGAAAGTAGAAATCAATATATTTTATTAGGAAGGGAGATTTTTTAGGAATTGGGCGGGAAGTTAAAATTCCAGGATTTTGTTTTTATATATAGTATAGATTGTATTACACTATTTTATAATATTAGAATAGAATTTTAACGCAGAATTATTGTACGAATGGGTAAGTAGAAATCAATATATTTTATTAGGAAGGGAGATTTTTTAGGAATAGGGCGGGAAGTTAAAATTCCAGGATTTTGTTTTTATATATTTTTTTTGAAGGTCAATCTTGCGATTGTATTAATGAATCAAAGCCGAAATAGCGTCAGGTGGGATAGAATCCCAGTACATAGCTTGATCCTGTGCAAATGCTAACGAAGTTAAAGTATGCGCGTGTAAAATAACCTGTCTAGAGACATAATTTAAAGTAATACGATCAAATAAAGACATAAGAGTTCTGCACTGGTCAACCGTGACCCCAACGTATGAACGAATCGGCGTGTGATGGTGCCGGATAATTGTAGTCAACTCCATGCAATCCGTGAGTAAACTTACTGATGTGTTGTTCCGTTCAAGTAGCCAAGACAGTGCTTCCTTGTACGCCTGCGCCTGCGCCATAAGTGGTGAGAAGCAAACCGGTAACTTGCCATTTTTTCCTGTCACAAAAGAGCCATCTGGCGCTACTAGTAATATGCCGTACGTAGCCTCGCCCGTGCCGTGACGGAAGCCCTTCATCCACATAACACCGCAGGCCGCCACCTCCCGGTTCGGTTGATGTTGCCGACGCCGCATCCGGTTGGGTGTGGTAATCCTGGGCAGCACCGTATGCCTGAAGTGCTGCAGCTGCTGCCCTGCCAACTTGGGTAGGCCGCGTCATAGATCCCTTCCAAACAGCTGAGTTTCGGGTTCTCCAAATATAGTATAACACCGCTACCATCAATCGGGTTTGCTCCCCCGTCAAGACCGCCAAAGCCCCTTTTAGCCATGATGTAAAAGGGTCTGCAATAATATTAGTGATAGGCAATTGTGTTACATTCCAAACAAGTGTAGAATATTCACAGAGCACTAAAACATGTAACACATCTTCATGATCTAAACCACACATTGGGCATATTGGGTCCACCTCCACCCTTTTAATAATCAAGTTAGTGGTTGTTGGCAAAATATCACATATGGCTGTCCACAAGAAAGTCTTCCACTTGGGGGGACTTTTAACTTCCACATTGAAATCCATTTATCAAACATCATGGGATTATTCTCATAGTCGCCCACAATACGCCTATAGGCATTTTTCACAGTATATGTCCCCTTTGGGTCACCCATCCAATACCATGAGTCCTCGAAATCAGGACTAATAGGGATCATATTTATTCGTTCCACATCCTCAGGAATAAACAGGTCAGATAAAATATGTGGATCCCATGTATGTGTCTGCAAATCAATCAATCCTGCAACCCGTGCCTCTCTCAACTGCTCTGGCATTTCTGTTTGGATCAATGGGCTAGGATCATCTCGCAGCCACGGATGTCCCCATATTAAAGTTGTCTGTCCATTCCCAATTCTCCTTCGCACCCCAGAGACCACCATTGCATGTGCTGTCATTATACTTCTCCAACAATAACTTGGGCAATTACCAATAGTAGCATCAGTAAAACTGGTTGTGGGATAATACCTTGCTTTATAAATTTTTGCTGCGAGTGTTCCTGGGTTTGTTAGAAACCGCCATGCCTGTTTTCCCAGCATAGCAAGATTAAAAGCCCTAAGCTCTTTAAAACTCATACCACCATACTTTTTCGGGACGCACAACCTGTCCCAAGCCTTCCAATGTATTCCCCTTTCTCTTCCATTCCCCCACCAGTACTTATTCATAGTTCGCTCAATTGACTGACAAACTGTCTCAGGTAACAAAAAAACACTCATTGAGAAGGTAGGCATAGATTGCGCTACACTTTTCAATAATACTTCCTTACCAGCCTGAGAAAGTAACTTTTTACTCCACGAACCAATCCGCTGTCTGATCTTCTCCTCCACATAAGAGAAAACAGCTCTCTTATTCCTTCCCACAAAGGAAGGCAGGCCCAAATATTTCCAAAAATTGGGTGCTTGCACCACCCCAAGATAATCCGCTACCTGCGCCCTGTCACCCTCCTGGGTATTCCTGCTAAAGCATATATTAGATTTATTAAAATTCACCACCTGGCCTGACAATTTCTCATACCTTGCCAGGCATTGCCTTATAACTCCAGCCTCCTGGATATTCGCTTTAAAAAATAGGAGACTATCATCCGCAAAAAATAGATGTGATACAGGTGGTGCCCCCTAGCTACTCTGCACCCATGTATAGGGCCTGCTAATTGCTCATACTGCAATATCATCGAGAGAGCATCTGCACAAATAATAAATAAATACAGAGAGAGAGGATCTCCCTGCCTGAGACCCCTGGTTGGTTTCACGCTCCCTCCTGCCATACCATTGACCATTATAATATAATTAACAGTCGTTACACACAGCATAATAAGTTTTATCCACTTCTCACTAAATCCCATAACGGTCAGCATCCTTTCCAGAAAAGTCCACTCCATTCTGTCATAGGCCTTTGACATATCCAGTTTCAATGCACTCCAACCCACTACACCACATTGTTTTCTATTTAGATAATGCCCCACCTCAGCCGCCACCAAGATGTTATCAGTGATAAGCCTTCCCGGAATAAAAGCACTCTGGGATTCTGAGATCAGTCCTCCCATGAGCGTTTTCATCCTATTTGCTATCATCTTGGCCATAACTCTATAAATAACATTACTCAAAGCAATCGGTCTTAAATCTGCAACCGTCTCAGGCATCTCTTTCTTAGGAATCAAAACAATGTTACTATCATTCAAACCCTCGGGGAATACACAAGAATTCAAGGCATTCATTATAAAACTAGATACATCCCACCCCCCCCCCCCCCACCCCACTACCTCCCAAAACTACTGGTAGAAACCCGGGTTTAATCCATCCGGGCCCGGTGTGCCTTATCTGGATACATTGAAAAAAGGGCCGCTTTTACTTCGTCAGTTCCAAAAGGGCGGTCTAGCATCATATTTTGCGCCGTCATCACTCGTGGGGTTAGGACACCAAATAACGGATCATCACAGTCCAATCCATTAGAGGCAAAAATATTCTCAAAGTATTTCAAAATAGTTGAATGCATATCCTCCCCCTCCACCCAATCACCAGCATCACATTTAATACTAGAAATAAAATTCTTTTTCTTACGAGCAGAGGCATACCTGTGATAGAATTTTGTGTTTGCGTCCGCTCCGCGAAGCCAGTGCTGCTTGGCTCGCTGTCTCCAGAACACATCCTCCTGGATCTCAATCTGTTTCAGGGAATTCTCAATTTGTTGGTACTCAGCTAGAGCCACCAAATCTCGCCTATTCCGAATAGTATCCTGCCTCTGTTGTAGCTGCTTAATTCGTTTACCGAATTTATGGAACTGATCTCCCCCCCACCGCATTAACTTCTCTCCACACAACTGCTGACAATACAGCAATCCCTCCGTTCTCCCCTCCTGCCAGGCCGTTTCTACCACTTCTTTACACCCTTCATCTAATAACCAAGTCATCTCAAACCTGAACCTCCGCGGCCCCCTTCCCCTTGGCATGCACATTGCATTAATACTGAGGAAAAGAATCGAGTGATCCAAGGCCCGGGTCCATATGTTCTCCAACCATGCGTTCCCATTCATTACACCTCAATCATTCGTTATTAGGGCCTTGTCCAACCTTTCCTCTATCCAATTCGGCGTCCCCTTTCCTTTCTCACATGTATACTGGTGGCCTCTCATCGGCATTTGCAACAAACCACAGCCATCCACCGCATCTCCAAAACCCCGTAACAGGCTATTAGGGTACGGATTTCCTCCTTTCTTCTCATGCTGATATAGAAGATTATTAAAGTCCCCTATCACCACCCAGGGTAATAAAGATCTATTCTTCAGAGTGCCAAGCAAATCCCAAGTCTCCTCCCGCCTACTCCGCTCCGGGATATCATATATACATGTCATGCGCCATAATTTATTAAACAAACTAACTTCCACATCTATATGACTCTGCGAGTAGCTCAATAGACTGACCGTATTATTCTTTTTCCACAAAAGCGTCATTCCACCACTCAACCCATCATTATCAACATAAAACAAACCCTCATACCCAAGCGTAACACGGATCCGTTCTGCATGTATCCGTGGCACCTTGGTCTCCATCAAAAATACAAAATCAGGCTTCTTACTGGACGCTAGGCCCATAATCTGTCGAACTGTGCGTGGATTGCCCAAGCCACGAGAGTTCCAGCTTAAAGTACTCATGATGACGGGCGGGGCTGGGTACCAGCTCCCGCCATGGACAAGTTTTTTGAGCTATCTTGCATTGTGACATCACCCCTACCACCCAAATCCTCCACCCTGTCCGCCTGCACCTACCGTCGGCGCTTCGCCGATGCAACCACACACTCCTCCATCACTTTCCCCGCCCCAAACCCATTCTCCAAATCCACCACTGCCGTGACACCCACCAGTTCCCGAGACACCACCGGACGCGGACGCCCCCCTACCGGTACGAGCCAGCTATTCCCAACCGCTCTAGGAGCACTCCGGGATCCACCAGCGCGCATATCCGGACCATACGGGTACCGTTCCAGTGGTATTCCTGCTTCCCATGCATGAATGCAGAACGTGTGTAGGTGTCCCATGAACCCGCAAAAATAGCAGAACTTATGCAACCGTTCGTACCGAAAAGTGACCCATGCAGTAGTCTTATCCCGCTTCATTAACTTCATCCCCCTTCGTAAAGGGCGATCAACCGGTATGGATACCCGTATCCGATGAAAAGTTAGCCACGGAGCCCCCTCATAACGGTCATCGTGCTTAATAAAAGTGCCCATAAAATTCCCCGCCTGTTCCAAAATAGCCTGCGTCGTATATCCCTTGGGCATATCATGTAGCTGTATCCACATATCAATCATATTCAACTGGATATCCCCCGGCAACACACCATCCCGGACCTCCCGACAAACCAACGCATTATTCTCAAACGCCCAGGGGCCACCATTCAAAACATATTCCATATCTGTTTTATGAAAGAAAACGAACATGAATAAACCTTTTTGGATCTCCGTTACCTGCACTCCTCTGACCGGCTGCCACACCGATGCAAGAACCTGTCTCATAAAATCAAGCTTTATCATCTTCTGCGTGAGGAAACGGCCGACCACCTTCCATGTCTCCTCCTCCTCACCCACCACACCGTGGTCCTCCCCGCCCACTGCCGGCACGAAAGCATCGGCCTCCTCCTCCAAAGCCCAATCCGCCCAGCGTCCGGTGATTGCCGCCACACCAGCCTCAACGTCCGTCGCCTCTGCCACCGTAGGAGGCCGCATGGGGACGTCATTCTGTCGCTGCATACCCCGACCCTCATCATCGATCAAACCCTGCGTTTCACCGGCCATTCGACCGAACGGATCCATCGGCGATTTTGCGAAAACCTAGAAACCCTAGTATGAATGCGAAAACCCTAGATGTGTTCTAGATGTGTTCTAGAGAGGAAAAAAAGGATTTGTCCCTAAAAAGGATTTTGTTTTTATATATAGTATAGATTATATTACACTATTTTATAATATTAGAATAGAATTTTAACGCAGAATTATTGTACGAATGGGAAAGTAGAAATTAATATATTTTATTAGGAAGAGAGATTTTTTAGGAATTGGGCGGGAAGTTAAAATTCCAGGATTTTGTTTTTATATATAGTATAAATTGTATTACACTATTTTATAATATTAGAATAGAATTTTAACGCAGAATTATTGTACGAATGGGAAAGTAGAAATTAATATATTTTATTAGGAAGAGAGATTTTTTAGGAATTGGGCGGGAAGTTAAAATTCCAGGATTTTGTTTTTATATATAGTATAGATAGTATAGATTGTATTACACTATTTTATAATATTAGAATAGAATTTTAACGCAGAATTATTGTACGAATGGGAAAGTAGAAATTAATATATTTTATTAGGAAGAGAGATTTTTTAGGAATTGGGTGGGAAGTTAAAATTCCAGGATTTTGTTTTTATATATAGTATAGATTTTATTACACTATTGTATAATATTAGAATAGAATTTTAACGCAGAATTATTGTACGAATGGGAAAGTAGAAATTAATATATTTTATTAGGAATAGAGATTTTTTAGGAATTGGGCGGGAAGTTAAAATTCCAGGATTTTGTTTTTATATATAGTATAGATTATTATTGTTATTGTTATTGTTATTGTTATTATTATTATTATTATTATTATTACTAGTATTTTCACCCGTGCGATGCACGGAATGAAATTGTTGTAATATATTAAGAATATTTAAATCGATATATAATTATTTATGAGTTAATTTCACCAGTGGTCGTTTATCTTTCCTGACAATTCCAAATTTAATCCTAGACTATAGTTATTAATTATTACAATTTATTCTATTTTACAACTCTTACGTTAATATTCTTACTATTATTATTAACACTTAATTACTTTTAGATATTATTATTACCACTTATATTATTATTATTTTATTATTATTATATTATTATTATTATTATTAATTTCTTTTCAAGTACTGTTAGTATATAATGGTCGTGAGGCACAATAATAATATAACCATAATTAAATATTTTTGTATTGTATTCCGGAGTTAATGCCATTTTTTATCCTAGACTTATTGAGGCATTAACACTTTTCATCCTTTATAATAAAAATTGCCACTTAGTAGACACTGTTATTGGTCGTTGGACAGTTTTGATCCTCCGTCAGTGAAGCCGTTTGTTGACCGTGAATTAGAAGGGCTTTTCTGTCTTTTTATGTCTTATTCTTCTAATCTTGTTTAGACCAGCGCTGTTGTGACTCCTGTGAGGCGAGATGGCGAGACTTGGCGGCTAAGTAGTAACCGTCGGTAGTGAGTTGCAGCGAGGTTCTTCTCCGGCGAGTTGTGGGTACGGCAGCGAGCATACGAGGCAGTAACTCCTTCCGACAACGGACCAGTAAGGCAGATCTGGCGGTGTAGCAACAGTCCGGCGAGGTTGGTGCCTTCACCGGCGATTTTTGGTTCCGACGAAGCAGAGAGGGCAGTAGATCGGCGAACCCTCCTATGGTAAATAGCAGTTGTAGTTGTAGATGGCGTGATGTAGAATTTGCACCTGTAAGTCCTCCCTTCCATATTGACCACAAATATCCTTCCCATCTCTCTCTCTCTCTCTCTCTCTCTCTCTCTCTCTCTCTCTCTCTGACCACAACTACTTGGTGCACAACCTCAAAAACTCTGTTATTCTACCTGAAATTCATTGAAGTTTCAAGCTGAAAATGTGGAATCCGCCGCTCCCCAAAAATCGCATTGTCTGAGGTGTTGGAATGGCCGGTGTTGACTTCCTGGCTGTTGTAGCATCATTCCCCAACCCGGATGATAGAATTCGGAGCACCATCTTTGAGGTTCAAGGAGGTGGTAACACTGGCAATGCTTTGATAAAACCCGGATGATAAAATTCGTCTTGGTCTTAATCCAAGGATCATATCTAAGGTTGTTGATGACTCGCATGGCGAAAGAATACTTGATGAGCTTGAAAGGGATGGTGTTGATACATCTTTTATGGTGGTGTCCAAAGGAGGAAACTCACCATTCACATATGTCATTGTTGATAACCAAAAAAAAAAAAAAAAAAAAAAAACTCGCACGTGCATTTTCACTCCAGGATATCCACCCATGATATCTGAGGGTCTACATACTCAAATCAAAATTGTCTTCAGCGCTTGGAGTAAATATTGTCTACTTAGATGAAACGCTGCATGAGACTGCTTTGATTGTAGTGCAGGAGGCAAAGAGTAGGGGCATACCTATTATAGTTGATGCAGAAAGGTTAGGGGAGGGGTTGGGTGATATTCCTGACTTTGCTAGTTATGTCGTATGCTCGACAAAATTTCCACAGGCATGGACTAACGCCCTTTTCTATTCCAACTGCACTTGTTTCCATTATCTTGAGATTGATGTCAAATGTAAAATTCGTGATTGTTAGTTGGGTGAAGATGATTTCTTAATGTTAGAAAGGACTGAAGCGGATAACCTCAGTTTGTAGAAATGGATGTAGCAGTGACCAATGGATGGAGAAATACAAGGATTAGAACATAAAACGACAGAAAACCCCTTCTAATTCACGGTCAATAACAGTGGCTACTAAGTGGCAATTTTTATTATGGAGGATGAAAAGTGTCAATGTCACAATGAGTCTAGGACCAAAAATGGCATTAACTCTTGTATTCCGTGAGTCACAATAATAATATAACAATAATTAAATATTGTTCAATTCTATATTCTTCTAAGATTTCTATTACCATCATTAATTATTCCCAAATTTAACATAATTAAATAATTTGACCAATTATAAAGAAAGATTATTAAATAATGCACGAGACAATTGTTTAATTAAAAATTTTTAAAATTCATTAATAAAACATAAGGTTCTCATAGTTTTTTCTTAGAAACTCTTTAATAAAGTATTTTTTTTTTTAAGAAATTGGTGGGCCAAACTGCCTACGGCAGTTTGCGGTGGATAGGTCTCGAAAAAATATGCGATTTCAAAAAAACATTTGTCCAAAACGGACAACGGAGTCAAAAGTTATACCGTGCCGAACTTTTGACACTTTACAACTTAAAAAAAATAATAAAAATTAAAGGCCGGTTCAGCCGGCGAGACGCCCGCTGAGGAGGCCGATTCCGGCCTTCCTCGCCGCGGCCAGCGACACGATTTTTGCAACACTGATATATAAAATAGATATAGATTTGAATAGGAAGAGTATTACACAATTTTATAATATTACAAAAAAATTTTAACCAAGAATTATTGTAGAAATCAATATATTTTATTAGGAAGAGAGATTTTTTAGGAATTGGGCGGGAAGTTAAAATTTAAGGATTTTGTTTTTATATATAGTATAGATTGTATTACACTATTTTATAATATTAGAATAGAATTTTAACGCAGAATTATTGTACGAATGAGAAAGTAGAAATCAATATATTTTATAGGAAGAGAGATTTTTTAGGATTTGGGCGGAAAGTTAAAATTTCAGGATTTTGTTTTTATATATAGTATAGATTGTATTACACTAATTTTTAATATTAGAATAGAATTTTAACGCAGAATTATTGTATGAATAGGAAAGTAGAAATCAATATATTTTATAGGAAGAGAGATTTTTTAGGAATAGGGCGGGAAGTTAAAATTTAAGGATTTTGTTTGTATAGATAGTATAGATTGTATTACATTATTTTATAATTTTAGAATAGAATTTTTAACCCAGAATTATTGTACGAATGGGAAAGTAGAAATCAATATATTTTATAGGATGAGAGATTTTTTAGGAATTGAGCGGGAAGTTAAAATTTCAAGATTTTGTTTTTGTATATAGTATAGATTGTATAGATTGTATTACACTAATTTATAATATTAGAATAGAATTTTAACGCAGAATTATTGTACGAATGAGAAAGTAGAACTCAATATATTTTATAGGAATAATTTATAATATTAGAATACAAGTTTAACGCAGAATTATTGTACGAATGGGAAAGTAGAAATCAATATAATTTATAGGAAGATAGATTTTTTAGGAATAGGGCGGGAAGTTAAAATTTCAGGATTTTGTTTTTATATATAGTATAGATTGTTGACGGATATATTAGGAATCGACCCGCACCGACCCGGGGGCGCGGACAAGAACGGGTCCCGGGGCGGCGCCGCGTACCCGCCCCGGACGGGGCCTCGCCACGTGGCCCCGCACGGGCCACGTCAGAGGCCGGGCCGACCTCCAAATGGGCCCGGCCCGAGCCCATGACGGGCTCGGCCTGGCCCCCCAGCACGGCCCGGTCGCGAGACCGGGCGCGGTCAACTCGGATCTAACCACCCCCCACTTTAGGGGGTGGCGGTTAGGGGCGGGGGTCGTATAAAAACCCCCCACCTTGTCCAGTTAGGACACGATCTACTTTACAGACACACTTTGTACTGAAGAATCATTGTAATAGCCAATTCCACGGCGTCTAATACAATATACGGTCCACCGCGGCCTTTACGATATCCTTCGTACCATTTCTTTATTATTCATATTCTCATTCGCGTTAGTTAAGTCGGACCCCCGGTTTAATTAATTCCATCAGTGGTGCTCTTGTTGAGAGCTGATGTACAAGCTTAAGCGCTCTCTCCCCACTATTGTTCATCGACAGCGATGGCACGATCGAGATCCAGCTCTCGTCATACCAATGGCTCCCGCGGCACCCAGCTCGTCGCGAACGGGAACGGCCCCAACGGGGCCCCCGCCCCCAGCATCCAACCCGCCGCCTCCGCCAGATCGGGGGAGGATCTAAGGGCCCAGCTCACCAACCACCGTGGTAGCGGTGCGCCATCAGCTCCCCACGCCGCCCCCGCTCCAGCT